CTAGTTCACCTCTAATGTTACTAGTACGGTTCACAACACAGATATCACTGTTACTGTTCTGTGTGACTCTGTATGGCCCTGTAAACAGTCTGGTGTGACCGTCCTCCTGGTACTCATACTCATGAATGACGTCACCTGTCACTGTGATGTATCTCACCAGACGTCTGCTGTGTGACTCTAATTTGTAAAGATCTGATTCTCTGTCTCTCAATGTGACCAGTAGTCCACCGTCCACAGACTGACAGATTCCTACTGGGCCCAGTGGATCTGTACTGGTGACTGTAGAGACAGATCCTGACGGTGACAGATGGCTGATAGATTTGCTAATAGAAACAGTAAAATAAACATCACCAGTATCAGCCACACACATGTCATTAGGATCAATATTATATTTATGTTTTTTCTCCCCGTCTTTGTTTACTTTTTCAATGTAAGGTGATTTTACATCTCCTATGTAACAACTGTCTTCACACAATGCCTCCAAGGAATGTATTATGTTATCTTCATATTTAAATGAGTTTGTTTCAGTCAAACTAAAATCATCTAAATCCAGAGTTTTTCCGATCATTTTCTTTAGCACCTCATCACTGATTTCTCCTTTACTGTATCTCATTGAATAATTAAAGTTGCTAAAATTAGCATCTTGAGCAGACAGAATTTTTGTCAGTTCTCTGTGGTTGTCAATCAAGCCGTAGTCTGACATGGAGCTCTTGTTATCCTCCATATACTCTACCATCTCTTCCATTTTTTTCTTCTTCTTGTCTAGCTCAGATTTCACACTGTTCAGCTTTTTATTTTTTTCCTCCAAATTATCTCTCAGTCTTTGTTCAATATTTTTCCTGATTTCATTTAACTTGACTATTATCTCATCAACATGCTTGTGAAGCTTTTCAGTCTCGGAATCACAAAGTTCTTTATTTCCTAAGATCTGTTGTGACACTTTCTCTATCTTCTCATCAATACCGGAAAGGTCCCCTTCTCTGATCTTTGTCAAAAATCTTAGCAAGTCTCTTCTCCTTTGAGTAGCTGCCGTGGTTATAGTGCTCCATTCATGATCTTTATGATCTGTTTTTGCACACTTACCACAAATGAATTCATCACAGTCCTCACATATCATATCAATAGGTAAATCATGGGATTCACATATTTTAATATGCTCTTGAGGAGAGCCAAGTGGATATTTGGGATTTCTGGCCGCCATGTTTGTTGAATGTTGCCTACCTATGACCTAAATTTAAGGTAAAGTTAAGGTAGCTATGCATTCTGAATTGATTTGGACTTTAAACTGGGATATCATATTACATGATATGCACAGTGAACAAACAGGTGTACCTAAACAAATCATTATATAAGGAGGTAGCTTTAAACAAGGTGTGTGTGTCACTAAAGTTAAATTTTAAAAATATATCTAATGTTTCATGCACTAGTTCTAAGATATGCACTTTTACAGGGGTTAAAGGGGTTTTTTGATACGTACTTTTTGAAATTTTGGCAAATTAAACTGTATACTAGCTTCCAAGTAAGACCCTTATCTAGACAACAAGAATTTTTTTTGAAAAAAACCCCCAAGAGGTCCATGGGCCACAACACTCACAAGAGTCAATATGATTCTGCTGTTCTTCATCAGCAGAAGGATTTTTCCCCTATAAAATATTTGTATGTATCTTATTGTTCCGAAACAAGAGACTCATGGATTACAATTGCTCACCCAAGCCAATACTTCCCTTCTGTACTTCATCAGCAGATTTTCTCATATATTATTAGTTTATTACCCTTTTTAGCTCACCTGAGCCAAAGGCCCTAGTGGGCTTTTCTGATCAAAATTTGTCCATTGTCTGTCGTTGTTGTCATCATAAACTTTTCACATTTTCGTCTTCCTCTCAAGAACCACTTAGCCAATTTCAACCAAACTTGCCACAAAGTATCCTTGGATGAAGGGGATTCAAGTCTATTAAAATGAAGGGCCAAGCCCTCTTCCAAGGAGAGATAATTATGAATTAATGAAAAATTAATGGCATCTTTTAAAAATCTTCTCCAGAACCATTGGGCCAGGAAAAATGAAACTCATGTGGAAGCATCCTCAGGTAGTGTAAATTCAAGTTTATTCAAATCAAGACCCCTGGGGTAGGGCAGGGCCACAATGGTTGATCAAAGTATTACATATGAATATAAAAGAAGTTTAAAAAAAAGTCTCCTTCTTCTCCAGAACCAATGGACCAGGAAACTCATGTGGAAGTATCCTCAGATAGTGTAGTTTGAGTTTGTTCAAATCATGACCAGGGGGTAGGGCGAGGCCACAATTACCTATCAAAGTTTTACACAGTAATAAATAGGAAATTAAAAAAAAAATCTTCTCCAGAACCATTGCACCAGGAAAGATGAACCTCATGTGGAAGTATCCTTAGGTAGTGTTAATTCAAATGTGTTCAAATTATGACCCCTGGGGGTAGGGTGGGGCCATAATGGCTGATCAAATTCTAACACAAGAATATATAGCAAATTTTTTAACAAATCTTCTCCAGAACCAATGGATCAGGAAAAATGAATCTCATGTGGAAGCATCCTCAGGTAGTGTAAATTCAAGTTTGTTCAAATCATGACCTCTGGTGGTAGGACAGGGCCACAATGGTTCATCAAAGTTTTACAGGGGGATATATAGGAAAAATCTAAAAATCTTTTTCTCAAGATCATCAAACCTATGATTGGTAATATTAATATGGACACATTCTCAGTTAATTTAAGTTTGTTCATATCATAACCCCAGGAGGTAAGGTTGGGCCATAATGAGCAATCAAATCTTTACATAGAAATATATAGGAAAAATCTTTAAAACTCTTCTTTTCAGGTATGGCAATATTATACATACCGTATATACCTAACTGATTTAGTGGCATTCTCAAGTAGCAAGAAATTCACGGCCCTCCTTCCCCTAAAGAGTTAACTTTTCAATACTGAGCTGATTTGTGTTTTTTTGTGTTCATGTGAGCGATGTGGCCCATGAGCCTCTTGTTAAAAATTACAAACTTGCATACTATGACCCCGCTTTACCACTACTGAGGGGTGGAGTTTTAAGATTTAAAAAGACTTTACCCGGTAATAAGCCTATACGCAGTCCTTAGTTTAGTAATGTACAAGAGATGACCACGTAAAGTAAAACAATACTAAGAAGAAGCAAAAGTGACCAAGTTCAGGGTTGCAACAAACCCTCATTTCATAGATAAAGCAACTAACCATGATTTATGGTCTATGCTACCCAAAGTGTGAAAAGTATGATTGATTGCAAGCAAAATGTGAAAATGTACAGCTATTAAAATTCAAAAATGAGGTCATGGTAATCTACTTCTGCAATGCTGCATGCTTGACTCCTATATGCGTTAACGCTCACATTGATTGGATAAAGAAACAATAGGCCACACTGCTGACCTTAGCATCTTGCTTAGAAAATTTTAAAAATTACTCAACCTTAACACCAGAGTACTATTTCGTTTAAATTCATCATTTAGTAATTCTATGGTCGAAAACAACAGAATACATGTACCATTCATCATGGATTCAAAAAGCTGACTGACAAATTTCATATTAATTTCATATTAATTTTGTTAATTGGTATTCCATTTTTTACATAATGAATTGATGACAGATTTTTCCTTTATTTCCTGATCATAACAAGGAACACAGAGTGGGTCGGCAGGGAGTGCTTACTCCTACATGGCACCTAATTCTGCCTCTGATGTTTTTGATGTCCGTGTTTCATCTGCTCCTATTTTGTATTGTTTTATGGACTTTTGAGCTTAAATACTGTTTACTATCTATATATATTTCATTCATTTCATTTTTTTAATTATTATATTACAGCATATTTATATTATTTAATTTATTAAATCCAAAATGTCTTGTGAAATAAAGATAAACATATAACAGATTTTTTTTTAAATTCACATATTTTGATATTTCTTCATACATATATATATGTGTATCCTCACAAAGAATCCATATTCATATTGAATACCAGAGGGATAATTTTGGAAGGGGTAATTTGAACGAACTAGAATCCATTCATTTTTCTTAAGACTATTAATGACCTTATTTAAGATCTTCAAAAGAATGTTGATTTATTGTGACATCCGCCTTACCCCCCCCCCCCCCCCCCCCTCCTGGATTTGAAGTACAAGCTTTTTTTATTTTGTTCAAAAGATAAGCCTGAACATTTTAGCACTGCCAATTACTTACAGTGTGTGAAATAATCGAGCACCTGACCGCCTGAGATGCTCAAATTTACACATATTGACGACCGGCTGGATGTCCAAAAATTTTCCATAAATTGAAATTGATCATCGCTCTCAAATCATCTAATATTATAAACTTTTTGCAAAGTGTAACAAGCAAACACGTAAAATTCTTCTTGGAACCTATAGGAAATAGTGAGCTGTCCCTCTTCACATTATTGCTAAAACAAACTTATCAAAGGCAATTTTTTTCTTTTGGGCTAGTACATTTATAGCAGGGCGGACAACTTTTACTAGCAATCAGCCCTGCATGTCTAGCTAATTTTACAGCGAGTTTCAAACACTGGTACTTGCCTCTTTTGCCTCTGGACTTTTGAGATCTTGCTCTTGTATGACATCAATTTTTAAGTCTGGAAACTCTTTTCTGAACTCTGTATAAATCTCATCATCTATCTGTGTTAGCTTCAGGACTGTTGGATCCACAGAGCTTATAAGCTGTAACAGTAGACAGAAGATAGGATACAAATACAATAGCTCCTGTATTAAAGTTACCAACAATTTTTTTTTATTTATACAGAACTTTTTTCATTTGAATTAAATAAATGTTCTCTTAATATATGTAGGTACTGTATTTATTTTTAAAAAATGAATGCTGGTTCTCAAAAACCTGTGCACGTTTTAGTAAGGCCATCTTTAAGATAATGTGTGCTTGTCCTCTCCCAATTCAACGTAATATTATTGGGTCGGGTAAGTACAATGTATGAGAAGTTCCTGGACAATGACAATTTGATTAAAATAAATGGGTTTTTATATAAATTTATTGAATATCAAATTAATATTTCTTAAGAAAAAATCGGGGTCTTTAACCCCCTTCCCAGAAGTCATGCAATTTAACACATATACCATTTCCTATTTCTAACGCAAAATAACGCATATACCGTTTCCCGCAATCATGCATTTTCATTTACTTTAATAAAGTGCCCCGCCACAGCATGATACGCCCATCAAATAATGTTCAATAATCATAAATTAGTTAGGATACAAGAAAATCAGGTAGCCATAATTAACAGATTGACGCAGATTTCAATTATCTATTTTCCATTTCTTATTATACATCTCTAAGAGACTTACAGTGTAGGGATTGATAAATTAATTATAACAAATAATACTAGTGAGACATGACTGCAATTTGTGTCAAATATATAAAAATGAAATATAATTTTTTTTTTCAATTAACACATGTATACCGGTAATTAGTTTTAATCATATTGTACAATACTAATTTAGTTTTGATCATACACTAAAACATCAATTTGTTTTAATTAATTACACAAATTGAAAGATCTTTATCTGGACTAGCCATCAAGAACTCTTAATTAACACAACAACTATGAGGCCATCTCTTTTTGCCCAACTCCCAAGAGATAAATTAAGATAACTGCTGTGCCAGATCTAGAGGTGCTCTTAGCTCCTGACAATAAACTCGTTAATTTCTCTCTAATTTGACATGCAAATTTCTGCTATCAAAATTCTTTTTGACCAGTGCTTGATAATTAAGCCCATGGGACAAACTGATTTCCTCTCAAAGCATAAACATTTGTTACAGATTGCTGTAATGTATATAATGAAAAAACAAGTTTTTACTTAATTTAACGTTTTTTAATAAGCATACAACTATATTTTTACATTTTTTAGGATTATGAAATCTAGAACTTAAAAGACTTAGTTTTTTAAAAAAAAATTCACTATAATTAAAAGTCACAGTGACCTTGAAATAGGCCGCAACACACCTTCTACTTAAGATGTATACTTTTGCCAAGTTTGAAAGCTCTAGGTCTAATAGTTTTCTAGTTATGAGTCGGACAGGATTTTTCCATATTTGGCTTTAGCATCTTTATTTAAAGGCCAGAGCGACCTACTTTTTGTGCGCGAAACCCCGTCTACCCAAGAAGTATGAGTTGACAAAGTTTGATAATCCTAGGCCTAATAGTATTCAAGTTACGAGCCGGACAGGAATGGACAGACGGACGGACGGACACAAAGCCTATAAGTGAACATAATACGTCCCGTCTTAAGACGGGCGTATAAAAAGTTCATTTAATCTTTAATTTGATGCCAATTTCCTCTATATTATACTTGCAAAAATCTCAAAAAATAAGAAAAGTTATTTTTGTTTTAAAATATAACATCATAATAACATTTACCTTACACTTTAGAGAAACGTGTACCATGCTACAAGGTGCTAGCGCGGAAATGGTAAATTTCTATTTCTATGACTTGAACTATGTGAATGTTGCATAACAGTTAAGTAAGTTGTAAAGAGTTAAAGATCACAGATAGTATTTTTTTTATCAGTTTGTACAGTTGTGTGAAAAACTGGTTCATATTTTTTGTGTGTTGTTTTTCTATTTTAAAAATATATATACAGAAATAAGATTTATACAAAGACAAGGTAATTTCCAAATATCAGGAGAACTATACATGTACAGCTCTCTTGTTGAGAAGATTCGTACATTACAGTCAAATCAGAGAGCTTCAGACAAAGCATTCTAAGAAACCTTCGATTGACTTACATTGAAATATGTTTCAGCATGGTGGTATGACTTCATAGCCCATTTCAATTCAAGGTCTGGCTGTAAGAACAAAAATAAAAACAATTGATAAATTACATGTGGGCTTTTTATTCTAAAATAGATAACAAACTGTAAACTACTTAGTTTTATAGGATATGAACATAGTTATTTGTTTAACATCCCTTTCAAAAACTGCAGTGAAGGACTGCAATTTAAGACCTGTTCTCGGTAATCAGGGCCTTTGAGCAGTGAAAGGGCTTTTTTCATGCAATCTTGAAGTTTTCACTTTCGAACTATCCCGAGCCAATGCTGATAACCTACTTGCAAGATTTTTTACATTATTTTCAAGGGATCAGAAATACTGTGGTTCATACAGGTATGTAAAGAATATATTTATATTATCAAGTAGTATTCTGGTTTTGGCATTCGGTATTTTGTGCAGATTTATACGTGATATTCCGTGGAATACTTTTTTTTTTTTGTTTGAACCATCAAGAAATGCAGAATCAAATGTATCTAATAACCATTTTGATTCATCAAATTATATCATTTGTTTGTATTAATTATTTCATTTTGGCACAACATGGTTTCCACACTTCTTTATCCATAGTTGCTGACAGCTGTAGAAGTTCACCCAACCGAAAATGTCCATTGAAAAGACAACTACACATGATTATTCCTCGGTACAAAAAGCAACCAACACTGAGGTGCGGTCATGTATTGACAATCCCTAACTCACGGGTTTGTAGTAAAAACATAGTAGACCATCATGCTTTTTGGTTCATTCACGAGATAGAACCATTGTTTGCTGTGAACATGCAAGACCACGTGATCATGAATATTTCAATAAGAGGCATTTTTAAATCCGACACGGAGAGAAAATAATTTTTACCAAATAATATTTCATAACTTTTAAAAGTGATGGAGTGGAATTGTCTTATTTGCAGAAAGTATATAACTTATATAACTTGATGAGACTCCATGTATATTTATTTCTTTTAAAATAAAACACTAATACGGCATATATATCTTTAAGATTTAACTAGGATCAGCAACAAGAGGTCTATAGCCACACCACTCATGGTGAGTCACCTGAGAAACCTTAGCCCTATTGTTCTTTTGAGAATTAATTTCTCAGATTTTCCCCCCTTTCTTCACATGTTGAAAAATTTTGCTTCCAAAATAAACCCTATTCTAGCTCTAACTCTAAGGGACCATAACTTTGCCAAACTTGAATCCACATGCACACAGACAAGTACTCCAATATCAGTTTCATGTGTTTCAATACCATTCATGACTTTTGTTGTTCTAGAGTAGTATTTTTCACCCCTGACTGTTTAATGCTGCTTATCCATTATGTATACATGTATTTTGAATCCTGACTTTAGACAGATGGACACCAGACTTTAATGGGTGATCAAAAATGCTCACATGATCTTACAGCTCAGTACAACTAACAATGGGAAATGATTTTATAAAGAAACACAGCTAGAGCAGAGAATTTTGTCTTACATTGTTGATATACTTGGATGCATCGTTGGTTAACTGTGATCCAACATTAGCCAGCTCTCCCGCAGTCTGTAATCAAATAAACCACACATGATTATAACATTGATCAAAGAGCAATATATTGTACATTTAAATAGCTTTAGTCAAAACAAACCAGAGCCAGGGTAGAGTACTAAAGGACACTTTGTTACATACTGTTTATAATAAGGCAAAGTTGTCATAGCCAGTTGATATTTACTGTATATACCATGATATACACATCCATAAGTCGGTACAACTTTTTGCCAGAATTAGATGACAATTTTTAATAAATTTTTGATGTTTTACTCTGATTTCATTTAATATTTTAAGAAATATGAAGTTAAAATTCAACTTTAAGTCACAAGAAGATAAATAATGCCCTCTTACGATTAAAAAAATTATTTTAATACATGTATTTAAAATACATTTACCGTATATAATCGCCTATAAGTCGGTTGTATTTTAAAAGCTTATATATCATAGGGACTGACCTCATATAAAACCATTGATTTTATAGCTCGCCTGTAAGTCGGACATAGAGTTTTGGACCAGAGATTAACTCCCAAAAATCTGACTTATAGGCGAGTATATACGGTATGTATAATCTTAGAATACATAAATGAAATAATATACCCATACTTCACTGATAACTGTTGAAAATGTTTATAGAATACTACGATTCGCCATCCAGAAAATACCAGTCTTTTATGACTCGCCTATTATAAAGTCGGACATAGACTTTCGGACTAAAATTCAACTCCCCAAATACTGACTTCGTTATCATGCTTATAGGCGAGTATATACGGTAAGGACATAGGCAAGGTACCTTAGGTACTGATAAATTTTCAAGATATTCTTAATTTAAGATTCATACATGCCAACTTTCCTGATTTAGGCGGGATTCTCCGGATTTTATCCTTTCATTCAGCCTTCCCGATCGGGAGAGAAAAATTGCCCCAATTTCCCGATTTGAAAAAAAATCAGATTTTCAGTTTCCCTACCACCAAATTTTGGAAATCGGGATAATCTTGAATATCAGAGTTGTTTATTCAATGCACACAGATAAGTCTCATTGTTTTTTTTATAGCATGCAGAGTTAATTAGCCACGGGAAATCACTTCTCGCTTCAACGCACACACTGCTGTCCAGGTACAGGTAGCTTATGGCCTGAAGCAGTTAGGGGATTAATATTTTCAGTTTGAAGGGGTATGCGAAGTGAAACACATGGATTAGGGCTTAATTATTAGTCATTGTATTAAAAACAAAAATTGAAGTCAATAAAATGATAATCATTTTTTTTTTAAAAACGAAAGTAGAAAATTTCAAAGCAAATATACTTGCTGATTTTAACTACAGATAATAAAGATATTGCATAGTTTGTCAATTAAAAAAAATATTGAAGATAATTTAGATTAAAAAATACTCTCATGTTAATTACACTGACCCCCCCCCCCCCCCCCTAGATCAAACTCATATTGTACATTGTATTTCTTTGTTACATATATGTCAAGGAATTACTAGAGACCCATATATGGCATTGTCAAAACTGCAAAAGTTCATCTTGTTTATGATGTAGTCTTTTACAATTTTAATTTTTCTTTGGGATGGATGGGTGTGGGGCTTGTGTTAAAATAATTCTTAGGCCTATTTCTCCAAATTGTTTTGTGTGTGAGATAAAATTAATCATGCAGTGTCTATATACTTACTTATAGGAAATAAAGTGACACTTGATTTTAAGGGTACATACCAGAAACAAAATTTAAATTAATAGAACAGATCTAGAGTGACAACTATTAAGCAAAGATATTCAAATTTAGAAAAATAAAACTTTAATTTGTATTGTTTTATTTGTGCTGTATTTATAAGCATGATAAGTGCTATCAATATCATAATTTAAAAAAAGTATTTCATAATCATTTATTTTCACGATAAAATGTCGGACAAAATGTCGCAAATTTAAAGCTTTGAAAATTGTCGTCACGCGCAAAATCACCCATGGGAATTTTCAAATTATTAAAGTTGGCATGAAGATTAGACATGTTAGAGTGCCATCAAAACATCATAGACAAAATTTCAGCATGCATAACCGAGGGATTTTGGAAGATATCAAATTAATTGACCTATTAGACTCTGTTATGGACATGTAACTTACATTACTTGACATCACGGTTTAGACCATCGTGATACTTCAGAGACCACAGGAACTCATCATGACTCAATTATCATTTTATTGAAGCTTATTCGTGTCACATAATAATTTTCAAAGTTGGTAATTCTAACTGTAACATGCTGGGCACACACCACCAAATGGTCATTTTACCCTAGTTTGGTGGTCAATCTTCCATACCGGGGTCATTTTTACGTACCAAAGATGGTCTTTTTTTTTTAAATCCAATTTTCATTAGAATAGAACAATTTTTTTCTCTCTCATTTAATAGGTGAACACAACCCCGATATGTGTGATTATATAACCACATGGCTTAAATGACCATTTGGTGGAGTGTGCCCAACCTGTATAATATAGGCCATCAGGATTGATACATGTAGTAGGGGTGGTCAGGTGGTCAAATAGGTAAATAAGTTATGACTAGCTCCTCTGATTTATTGACTATGACACTGTGTACTCGGTATGAATGGGACTGATGATGTGCCTCTGCCAGAGATGTGCTGCTGATTTTTTTATTTTTTATTTATGTTTTTTTTTGGGGGGGGTGGGGGTGAGGGTAGGGTCTTCCATTGATTTTATTTCTCTAAATCTCTTGAATTTTTTATCTTTATCCAATAAGAATAAGAAGTGAAGAGATCTCAAAATGCGCCCATTACCCTTGAGATTAACTTATCAAGACTACAGTAGACAATAAAAAATAATTACTTACAAAATTTGCGAGGTTTGCCATGTTTTTTTTAAAGATCAGTGTGAATTTAGATTTTCCTATTTAATGTGTATTTCAGCTCTCTAGAAGAGTTTCAATGATTAAGATGCAAGAAACGTGTAATTTCTAAACCAAATCCGATCCGAGAAACGGGTTAATAATTGAGAGCCGAAAACAGGTATGAGTTTTATAGTCTCTGCTCTGTTCTGTATTTTGTCACGCAATGTATCATTACATATGTACAGTACTTATGGAAATGCACTAAATGCACAAAATGATTACTTATTTTGTAAACTATATCATTTATTTACACTATTTGAAAAAAAAAATCGTATATAACTTAAGTTTGTGCAGGTTCATGAGGTTGTTTTCTGCATAGTCCCATAAGAAGCAGCATCTTACTATGGCTTCATGGACAAAAAGGAAGGTGAAGGGAGTGCTGTTGGACATCAGTGGTGTTTTATTTGAGAGTGGTGCTGGTGTCCCTATTGACGGGTCTGTGGAGGCCGTACAGAGGTAAATAGTCTGGTAACATTAACAGGTTGGACCTGCACTTTCAGTCTCTGTCTGTCCCAAATGGGATGTAACAGTCTGTTTGGGATATAATAAATTTCCAGGTGGGATATAAATTTACTGTGCAAAAAAATGGAAAAAAATGTTTTTGGCTATAAATATAATAAATCTGCATCAAAATACTTAAAAGTAAAGGAATAACTTTTGGCAAGCAAGTTTTTCTGTAACCCTACAGTCTGTTAGATTGCTTCCCGAGAACTTCAGAAACTCTCAAGGGATCAATCTCCTAAAATGTGGCCATACAGAAAAACTTGTCATCTAAAAATCATTCCTGTATACAGGTATATATCTTAATTGAAACGGATTTATGAAATTTATAACCCAAATTAAAAAAAGACTGCACTGTAAATTTATATCCCATCTCATCTGTCAGTGGGATATTGTTATTATATCCCAAACGAGCTATATTGTATCCCATTTGGGCAAGTGGTCCCAAGCTTTCAAACATCATTCATTCATTCCCTTCAAATAAGGGAGGCAGTTGGGGTAAACAAGGAATAACTATAGGGATAACTCTGAGGAGAAAAGATGAGGGAAAATCAGGAAATTCTTTGCTGAGTTTGAAATCTGACATAATTGGATTTTACATGAATGTAGAAAAATGAATTTTTTTCTTCTTCAAGAATCATAATCATATAAAGTTAAAGTATAAATAACAATTTAAGAAGCATCAGTAAATAGTCATATTCCATCCATTTGATTATATTACATGTAGTTTACTTTAACCTGATAAGACTTGCATTGATTGATAGATAATTTTATTTAAATACAGACTAAAGGCGGCTGGTTTAGCGGTGAGGTTTTGTACCAATGAGACGACGATGACGCGAGGAATGTTGACAGAGAAGTTACACGTGCTGGGATTCTCAATGTCGGAGCAGGAAATTTTCCCCCCGATCCCCGCCATCTGCAAAGTCTTACAGAAACGCAACCTCAGGCCACATCTCCTCATCAATCCAAGTATGAATTCATATTGTATGAAATCTGTAATTGACAGGTTATTAACTTGTATGTACTTTGGGATAGAAATTTGAACGTTACCTTAGACATGACAGTGTTAAAATTAGGAAGCAGCTAACATTTTTATGATGTGAAATAGAAATGTTGCTCCTAAAAGTCTTCTCTATGACAAATCAATGACAAACTGTTACAAATTTTAGAGGGATGAAATTGCTAAAAATAAAAACAAATACTTAAAATATTTCATTTTAAATTTAATATTGTATCATAGATTTGTCATTTTTTTTCTTACATAAAGCAGCAATGATGTAAATAATTTTGTCACAATAAACTTATATATAGGGTGAATTCACCATGCATCGGATACCCTTGTACTTCAACAAGTTCTAGCGATATCGCTACCAACGGAAAATTATCAAAATGAAGTTTAACATTTAGTTTGTGATTAAAATATCAATGTGGGACACAATTACATGTATATGCCCTTTATTTAGAAAATATCCTCAAAAATCAAGTTTTTAGGAATAACTCAAATTCACCATGGATCGGACATTTTTTACCATGCATCGAACAGACGGTATTTTGACCAGAAAAATGTCATACCTTTATTGAAGTGCTTTAAAATCCTTGATATGGATTTATTTTTATCTTTTATCTAAGAATTAATCCTCAACTCAATTTAATTGACGATATTGTTGCACAAATGTAGAACGATTCAAGAGACCTCACTCTGCCATAAAAATGCTTTAAAATACTTATAATGCGGTAATTCGCACCTTTTTTTCATGGATTATCATACTCTGGTTTGTAGAAATAAATTGAGTCAAATTCCAGACGTCATATATTGTTAACTTGTATTTTGACTGAAAATATAGAGTTTTTATTTTCTTTTTCCACAAAAAAAGCTATCAGCTGGGTTCTGTATGAAAATGGTAGTGCTTACCTTTGCATTGGAAAGTTGCATTGCATGGTTAATTTGTGTCCGATGTACGGAGAAATGAACATATTTGTGAAAACCAAATTCTTTTATTTAATTACACAAACATTGAAGTGAAATTTCTTTAAAATTTATATAAAATTATCAATCTTTGACTTTATTCACCAAAGTCTGCCTCGTTCCGTTGAAGTCGAATTTTAAGAACGATAACTCTAAAAATCGCTAAATCATGAATTTCTGGTTATTCCCCTATGATGATGTAAAATATGACGTAACTTCAGGCAATTCTCGGGGTATTTTTATCACAACATGATAATAACAATCGGTATCATTAAAAAATTTAAGTCTTCAGCTTCAAAACAGAAACAAATAAATACATGGAACTCTTAAGTTGAAAGAGAGTTTATTGTCTAAAGTTGTCCGATGCAAGGTATGTGTCCGATGCATGGTGAATTCACCCTATATAAGTTTATTGTGACAAAATTATTTACATCATTGCTGCATGCTCATAGCTAGCATGTTATATTTTTTTTATCCAATAAAAATATTTTCTCAAGAGAGCATTTTAAAAGTTAATCACCTAACTGTAACTTTTTTCTAAAGGATATATTTTTTGTTCAAGAAAGTATATATATTTCATTCTAGTGATATGTTCCTCCTTTATATATCTTTTGTAGAGGTAGCCCCTGATTTTGACGGTGTTGATACCTCAGACCCTAACTGTGTCATCCTTGGTGATGCGACAACAGAATTTAATTACCACAATCTCAACAAGGCGTTCCAGGCCTTAGTGGCAATGAAGGAACCCGTTTTGTTCTCTCTGGGAATGGGGTAACTACTTACTTTGCTATTTTTTTTATTTCAACTTATGAGAAAGAAAGTTCACTGTTGTAGTTGGCATTTTATTTTTAAGCTATCTAAAGTCAAAATAAAGATATGTTCAAGAAATTTTTAGGTTCATACCAAAATAATAGTTTCCGACTATGAAATGCAACATTGGTTAAATTTCATATGTTTAGAATGATATACCTTAATTAATTTTGGTTTTTCTCCCTTGGTTCCTAAATAAAGACATCATCAAAGTTTTAAATTCCTTTGGTAAATATTGGAATGCATAATTATTAAGGACCCCTGAAGCCCATGTTAAATGTTAAAGAATTCTTTACCTGATATTCTGTTTAATTCTGTTTAATTTTAATCGCTTTTCTCACATGTAGGAGATTCTACAGAGAACAAGGGGAACTACTGTTGGATGTGGGACCTTTTACCAAGGCTCTAGAGGTAATAACACAATCATGCACAAATACATTCATCATTCAAAATTGAAGACCATTGATTTACTAAGGCTCTAGAGGTAACGACACACAAAAAGACAATCATTATTCAAAATTCAAGCCTTTTTTCCCGTGCTTAAACCACAAGGGTAATTTGATAAATTTGATTGTTTCCTGTGCATAAATTATTAACATACAGTTGATTTTTGGTATTTCGAGCAGTCACCTTTTGAACACTGACTTCTTGAATGTGAGGGATATGTCAAAGTAATCTTGGAAGTCTGATCCACTTACTTTTAAAGAATTTTACCCTGGATTTCTGAAAGCCTTGGATATCTCAAAGATTTCTCTCAGCCCTATTGAGTTTAAAATAATTTTCACTGATTAAAAAAAATCAAGAAAACTTTTTCAAAAAGTTTTATTTTAAAATTTCTTTTTATGTAAATCTGCAATATAACATAAGACGTTACTTTTGTACTTAAGAATGAAACTTTTAAGGACTTTTATTGGATTAAGATAAAGTTTATGGACATAAATCTATTGGTGAAAGATGATTGTGCTATGTAGATTTTGGGGCTGAATTAAGGTTGAGAAAATGTCTAAAAAGTCATATTTGAGCACTTTACAGTCTGTTTCATGAGTGCATCCATAATTCACTCACAAGAAAGTGCTTAATTATGTTCCCCAAACGAAGTTGGGGAACATATTGTTTTTACTCTGTTTCTTATTATTATGTTCCCCAAACGAAGTTGGGGAACATATTGTTTTTACTCTGTTTCTTATTATTATTAAGGTCTTCCGTTTCAACGGAAGACCTTCTTATTATTCTGTTGTTTCTTTTCAACTTTTCTTATTATTATTCTTACCGATTTTGTGCAGTCGATTTCTCGTAAATGCGTCGATGGATTTTCATGAAACTTTCAGCATTGATGACAAATGAAATGAACTTAAGGCATTTTTTTTTAATTTGATGACGTCACTTCCGGTTCGGAGTTTTCTGCGATTTAGTGAGTTTTAGAGGGTCATTTTGTCCGGCAGTTTTCTCAATAATGGCTCAAGATAGAAATACGAAACTTTCAGGTCTGATAGACCAAAGTCTATAGATATGTATAAGGTATTTCATTTTTATCGGAAGTGCCGCACGTCGGCGCTCGCTATGGCCCGAAAATAGTCCTATCGAATTTCACAATTTTTAACAACTTTTCTACAATATCTTTTTACCTGGAAATATTTTGTGAAAACATATAGAACAAAAGAAGTGTAGAATTTCAAGACCTTTCGAATGATATGTCGAAAAAAGGGCTGGCCCCTAAAATCAAGGGCCTAGAGGGGCCGAAATTGTTTTCTTTATATCTCAAAAAGTATTGAGAATTTGTAATAAGTTAAAGAAGCAAAGTTGTTCAAAATGTCAAGCTTTATTTACTGGAGTCGTCAAAATACGTCCGGCGTCGTCACTTCCGGCCAAACCGGAAGTAGTCGGAAAACGCGCATTTTTGCCGTTCTTGACAAGTTTTTGGATAACATATGTCTCTTGGAGCATAAAAATTAATTTTCCGTCCGTCGTCATCACTTGCGGTTAAACCGGAAGTAGCCAAAAATAGCTTAATTTGAAGGTTTTTATGTAAAAATTGAAATTCTAAAGTCACTGGAGACGACTTAGCTCATTGCTTTCTTGTGTTGATGTCACTTCCTGCACTTCCGGTCAAAACTGGACGGAACACCTACTCGTTGCTTTGCAACGAGCTTTGCTCTAGTTATTATTATTATTTTTCTTCTTCTTCTTCCTGGGTACTTTTTTGTCCGGGAATGATCTTGTAAACTGTTCGTCCGAGGTAGGTAAAACCTGTTTAGGGTAAGTAGACATGTTATGCAGATTTGCGGAATCAAGGTCATTTTGCGCGCACGTGCTTCCAAGAGCGCGCACGTGCAACACTTGAAATGACCAATATAATAGATATAGTCGAAACTTTTCTATTTTTTGATTAAATGCTTTGAAACTCATAATGTAAGGATACATTAGTAGTATAGACAAGATGGCATGGTCAAAATAGCAAGATCTCACGCGCATGCACGTGCGCTTTGCTCTGATTGGCTGAAACTAAAGTCTCAATATCTTTCTTGTTTCTTGTCATAATCTTTTGAAATTTTGAACATGGTTCTACATTATGAAGATCTATAGCATGATATATTAAAATTTTAATAAAAGCATGCGCATGCGCGCGTGCTGTAATCTGATTGGCTAAAACTTTAAATGGCTATATCTCGTTTGTTTTTTGACGAAATGCTTTGAAATTTAAAACATAGTCATGCATTACGATATCCTTACATATGATATAGAAAATATTCATGAAATCACGAGCATGCACGTGTGCTGCAATCTGATTGGCTGAAACTTCAAATGGCTATAACTCTCTTGTTTTTCAACCAAACAGGATGGGATTTAGAACTTGGATAAACATAAGGGACTCCTACAAGAAGGTGTAGTCATTACGCACGTGCGTGCACGTGAAATGAGTAAAATAAAAAATACACTCGAATGAGTGCATTTTTTAATACTTTTGGATTAAATGCTTTGATATTATTAAAATATTAGATAGTGTAGACAAGATAATATGGTCGATACGCACATGAACACGCGTGCAATGCCTATTTTTTTAATATATTTTGTATTTTTTTTGGAAGACCTTGATTAAGTCTAAATTCCATAAAGTATTTCTTATTTAATAGAGATAACAGGGAATATGGCACCAAAAGGGAGTTGGGGAGCGTTTGGGGAACATCTGTAACGGTCCCCGTTACAATTAGCACTTAAGTTATTATTATTTTTCTTCTTCTTCTTCTTCTTCCTGGGTACTTTTTTGTCCGGGAATGATCTCGTAAACTATACATCCGACTAAGGTGAAATGTTTTTAGGGTCAGTAGACATGTTATGTAGATTTGCGGAACGAAGGTCATTTTGCGCGCACGTGCTTGCAAGAGCGTGCACGTGCAACATGTGAAATGACCGATTTAATGGGTACCTGTAAAGTGCGAAACGAAATAGAAACGAAACGAAACGAAACGAACTGAAACGAAACGAAATCTGCCGAAACGAAACGAAATTTACCGAAACGAAATCTACCGAAACGAAACGAAACCTACCGAAACGAAACGAAATCAAAACGAAACCTGCCGAAACGAAACGAAACAAAACTTTCAGAATGTTTATATGGTCTATTTTTACTTCATATGAAGTTTATATAGTTCAAGCACCAGAGGCAATTGTTTCGCTTCAAGTTCCTACATAGGCGTCAGAAGGATATTGAAAGCTGGGGGGGGGGGCTTAACCAACAAAAAAGGTAAACCCCAGTTTTCAATGCCTATGTAATATATATCTTTGCAAGAAAGTGGGAATGGAGGCTACCCCCCCCCCCCCCCTTCCCGCCGCTCCCGACACCTATGTCATATTTTGTTAATATCTTACTGAATAATTTACCTACTTAAAAATGACATCGTTCGCTTCGAGAGACTTTTTACTTGTCAGTTAAATCGTTTAAGACGTCTATGGTCGAGCCTCTTTATTGCAAACCACTCCTTTTTTCCTCCAAAATTACCTCGATAAAAATAGGAACGTATGTACGTAGAAAGGATACACAAGATTTCGGTTGGAGTTACATGTATAATCTGATTGAACAAAAAAACAGACACTTTGGAATGGAATACTAAATACTCTAAGTCTCTGGTTTATCCTATGTTTTAAGACATTCGCAATACAACAGTACAGTGACTTTATTTCGACCCGCACATAAACGAGCCTTTACATGTAACACATCAATGAACCACGAACGTTAGTATTGTTCTCCCGCCTAGCTCTAAGTCAATTTTCAAAAGTTAACATATTTGAATGATTTTCAGAATTTTTATAGATATTTATATGAATTTTCATAAAACGTTACTTTTTTGGGATACCAAAGAAATATAACTCTATAATTATGGTAAAACTTGAGTATTTCACTATAGAAATCAATGGAAAACGGAAAATATTTTAAAAACATCTTCCCCCCCCCCCCCCCCCCCCCATGAAACAAAAATTCCTTTTTACAGGTAATATAGACTGTCATTTTACAAATTTATGCCGAAGCTTTTTGTGTTTCACGGGGGGGAACATATGTTTATAGACAAAAAACGAAAAAAAAATGTTGATTTTTCACCAATTCTAAAGCTATTTACAATTAAATAATTGTATTTTAATAATTTATATAGCTTTTATTTATTTGTGTACAGCATAAGAAAAGATATGAAATACATTTAATCATATTTAAGACTATTTCAAAATAAAGTGATTCTTGAAAGTTTCATTTCACTAGAAAATATCGTCTACCCCCCTTTTTTGAGAGCTGAAATTAATGATCATTTACTAGCTAGAACTGGAATTAAAATGATTAATCAATTACCATAGAACTGTTCTTTGTACTAAACCAGGATTTAATGGCCAAATTGCCATTAAAATTGAATTAAAAGGGTGCAAAATGTAGGCGGGAATCAGAAGTTAGAGTACGTGGTTCTTTGATAGATATGTTGAATCTAGATAAATAAGGACTGAAAATAAGAGTAAGATATAAAAATTAGAAAATAATGCACATATTGAAACTATACATGCATAGTACGCTCGTGTATATTTGCAGCTTGCAAACATGTAAATGCATCATTAGACTGAGAAGGGAAAATTTATCGGTAATTAAATTTTATATTAACAAGTGCTTGAAGTATATGAATTTTATTTGAATTAAAAAAAAAGTCCACATGTAGTTACACATTTATAATTAAATACATGTACCTTGATTTACAAAAAAAAAAAAAAAAAAAAAAAAAACATTTTGATAGTTTCGTTTCGTTTCGGCAGGTTTCGTTTTGATTTCGTTTCGTTTCGGTAGATTTCGTTTCGTTTCGGCAGATTTCGTTTCGTTTCGTTTCTATTTCGTTTCGCACTTTACAGGTACCCCCGATTTAATTGATATTGGTGTAACTTTTTAAATTTTTGATGAAATGCTTTAAAACTTATAACATAAGGATATAATAGAAGCATAGACAACATGACATGTTCAAAATAGCAAGATCTCACGCGCATGCACGTGCGCTTTGCTCTGATTGGCTGAAACTAAAGTCTCAATATCTTTCTTGTTTTTTGACGAAATCCTTTGAAATTTTGAAAATAGCCATGCATTACAATATCCTACAACTTAATATATAGCAATTATCATGAAAACACGTGCATGCACGTGCGCTGCAATCTGATTGGCTGAAACTTTAAATAGCTATAACTCCTTTGATTTTCAACCAAACAGGATGGGATTTGGAACATAGATAGATATACTGGTCTACTACAAGAAAATATGGTCACCATGCACATGCATACACGTGCATGTACGTGCGCTGCAATCTGATTGGCTGAAACTTTAAACAGCTATAACTCCCTTGGTTTTCAACCAAACGGGGTGGGATTTAGAACATAGATAGATGTAACGGACATCTACAAGAAGGTATGGTCACCATGCTCAAGTATGCACGTGCGTGCACGTGAAATGAGCAAAATCCAAAAAACACTTGAATGAGCGCATCTTTTTTAATACTTTTGGATTAAATACTTTAATATTTAGTATATAAAAATATATAGATTGTGTTGACAAGATGATATGGTCATTACACACATGCATTCACATGCGCACGCGTGCAATGCTAAAATTTGAATTAACTTTGTACACTTCTAGATAAACGTAGTTAAAGTCTCAAATGCATCGAGTGTGTCTTATTTAATGAAGCTTCCAGGGAATATGGCACCAAAAGGGAGTTGGGGAGCGTTTGGGGAACATCTGTAACGGTCCCCGTTACAATTAGCACTAGTTTAAATTCTGACAGTGTTAATTTTTAGTCCATATCCAACAAACTTAGAAATTTTTATCACTTACTTCACTTTGTAACTGTCATATAAAGCTGCTGCAACAAATGTACTGGATTAATAATTTTGGATTTCATTTTCAGTTTGCAGCTGATGTGAAAGCTGAAGTTGTAGGAAAACCTTCACAGACTTTCTTCACTTCCGTTTTAGAGGACATGAATGTTGATGCTGACAACGTAAGAACTATTTCTATGCCCTCCTTCAAAGAAGGGGGGGTATATTTGATTTGCTGCTGTCTGTTGGTCTGTCAGTGGGTCAGCCTGTCTGTCGGTCCACCAAATTTCTATGATGAAGTTTGGTATACAGATTAATCATAAGAATATCGAGGTCAAGTTCTGTTTTAGGTATGATCAAGCTATTCTTTTTTGACAGAGTTATGCCACTTGGACTATGAAAATTCCAATTATTTGCAGTTTTCATGTAAAAAGTTCATCCCTTTATGCAGACAATGCTCTATTTCTACATATTAAGTAGAAAATTATGTCTGTTAGATTAGTCCTACATATTCTTAAACATGTGAAATATTTTTATTATGCTTCTTTGGAGGTTTGAACAGTGAACAGGGACAATGAAAAAAACAAGGAAATAGATACCTGTACAGTGTATTTATAAGGCTAACTTGACAAAGTTGAGATGAAATTATGAGATACCGTCAGCGTCCAGGTTCAAGTTTTAGTAGCAGGTCCATTCCCAAGTAACTATAAGACCTACCAGGACCAAACTTGCATGGATGATGCATCTAGGGATGGACACTACCAGACTTGCTTCGGATGCTGGATCTGACCTACATTTTCCACATTAGTGACTAAGATATTAGTTTGTGGAGCATCTCTGTTATTATATGGCCTGTTATGATTTGCATGTAACTTGCATGGATAATGCATCTAGGGATTGACAATTGTAGACTAGCTTGCTTCGGATGTAGAGAAAAAAAATTCTTGATTAGTGATGTCAGAACAGGTCAACATCCAATGAACTATGAGACCTACTTAAACAGAACTTGCATGAATATTGTTATCAGGATGCATACTAACTATAAAGAAAATATAATGTGAGATTTGCATTATTTAAACTGATAACGTTCGTCGAGGTGATTATGTATGTTTTTTCATACATGTTTACGTAATTTTGTGTCTGTGTATAGGTGGTGATGGTGGGTGATGATATTGTGAGTGACGTGGGCGGAGCTCAGTCCTGTGGCATGCTGGGAATCCAAGTCCGCACAGGCAAATTCAGGTTAGTGTATTGGCAAGGCATAAGTGTGCTTTGGTAGTAGCACATCGCTGCTTAGAGTCATATCTGAAGCTTGTTCAACAAAACGAGCACTCATTAGCATTTCTGTATAAGGAACTTTGGTGAGCACTTGTGAACATTTGGTCCATTAAACAGGCCTCTGTACAGTTTTTTTTAAAAAAATTTTAATGGAAAAAAAGACAGAATAATCAATGATTTATTAATATCATGATAAATTAAAGTTGGTTTTTTAGTTATCCTGTGTCTGTTGATTTTAGGCCTCAGGACGAGGAACATCCGACCGTAAAACCTGACGCATTTGCCGACAATCTCTTGGCTGCAGTGGATCTCATTTTAGAAGCATCCAAATAGCCAACCAATGAAAATATCTTCCAGAAAATGTGCCATCTCTAATTATCAAATATTTAAAAGAATATAATCATGATGTAAAGATTGCATGACATTGTTTATGTGAGTAATATACATGTATGGTATGCTTTTGAAATTATGTTTTTCATAATACTGTAGATTCCTTATTATTCGTGAGGAATTGATTTCTGCGTAATTTCGTGAGAAACGTCACTCGCGAAATAGAATTACTCGCTTTTCTTTTTATGGTGCTGAAATCTATGGAAATTCTGTTAATCAACCGTCCATTTGTGAATTATAATTCTTGCGATTTGAAGTTAAAGACCAAGATCGCGATAAAAAGTACTTGCAAAAAATTAAGAACCTACAGTATACAATATTAGAAGAATTCCAGCTACCTCCTGATTTTTGAATTTAGCGCTTCATGTTTAATTAAAACTTAAAATAATGTTGCAAATAATTCAATCACAAATATTGCCTGAGAAAATAAAAGGTTGTCCTTACAAAAGCAAAATTGATTTTGCTTATAATATTTGTCCACTCTTAGGATGAAATCAGTAAAATAGATTAGGCTTATCAAAATTTCCCTGTGTTTGGATAGATGTTTTGCAAATAATATTTTCCTTTAGAAAATAAAATCACTAAATATGCAGGTCTCTAAATATATTATTAGTAATAAAGCAAATGCATGTACAAACATTTTCTAAGCTGCTTGACACCTGTTTCTGTGCATACAAAATAAAATACCAGGTAAATGTATGTTACATGTAATTTATACGGCATATTGTTACAGTGCATAGGTACTCAACTGTATTGATTCTGGCTGTAGGCAAATCAGGCATAAAACAGCTTATGTATTACATGTATGTGAATTTTTAAAAAAATTTCCTGAATGATATAAAGAATACATGTGTGAAGTAAAGTTTATATTTGTGGTGGTTATTTTTTATCTTAATATTGTGGTAAACACAAATAATAAAGGTGTGAAAAGATAATTGCAGACATAAAATGTTATTGTTCTGATCTGCATGGAAGCAATTAAGAGAGATTGCTGTACAGATAAACTTTCCTGTCAGTGCTGTGTACATGACTGTATGTCAAGATATGAAGTTTGACATGAAAATATAATGGACCAAAATCAACATGTAACAAGGTAGGAGAAAATTTATGACTTGACTGTGACGCAAGTCAGTGGCCCCTGCATCATTAGTCAGGTGCTCTAACCACTGAGCTTAACCCAGGCCAATATCAATGATTAATAAAGCCCAAACTTGTACACAATAGCAATATCTTACGATCCATCCTTATTGATTGATAAATACAGTGTGGGGATGGGATTTGAGAATGTGACAAACAGATCTAGATGGTATTAGAAAATCTAACTGATGAACCATGACCTTTCCAGGGTTCCCTGCATCACTAGTCAGGTGCTCTAACCAATCAGCTACCCAGACCAATATCAATGATTTATAAAGACCAAACTTGTACACAGCACTAATCCCTATCTGATTGATAAATACATGCAGTGTAGGGATGGGATCTGGGGGTGTGATTGACAGATGGATTTATAGAGGATTTGATGAATAAAAAGTTGAATTATTTGGTGATTCAGTCAATTCCGGCTTCATTTCTACGAAGTTATAAAATTACAGACAGAGCTTGTATCAAATATTTTTACATTAAATTTCCTGTTCCTGTATAGCCTAAGCCTTTGAGTTTTAAATTTTGAAAACCAATTTTAAACTAAACAAATGACATAGAGAATAAACCAGTTTTTTTTTTTACTTTAATTAATAAATGATCCAGTAAAGTAAGTAGAGTATTTTTGAAAAGAATCGTAACTAATTCCTATATAATCGTTAATATGTTTTAATCGATGAAAACTGTAAGAAACTAACAAAACAAAATCATGACACTACTGATGATTAGTTCCCAAATGGAACAGATGAATAGAAAACTGGAATTTGATTTATTTAATGAAAACTTTAAAGCAATATAATCGAAATGATATAATTTAATTGTTGGACGTGATAGGGTTTAAACAAATTTAAAAACATCTACGTGAAAAGAAGAAATCTTACTGTTAGGTAGCCTTCAATTCGACATTTGATATATTAAAGACATGTTATCAAATAAAAAAAATAAATCATATTTCATACGTTATCTGTATGAACTCGAAATTAAAATTAATGCACCAAAATTATTTTGCTAAAAACTCTGATTCTAGACAAAATTATTCCCATCAATCATATTTCATACGTTATCTGTATGAACTCGAAATTAAAATTAATGCACCAAAATTATTTTGCTAAAAACTCTGATTCTAGACAAAATTATTCCCATCTTGATAATTAAACGATGCTTAATTAAGTGTCAGTTTGGCAAAATCTCAGTAGTTTTTGATTGATTGATTGTACAAACGTCCCTCTCGAGAATTTTTCACTCATATGAAGACGCCACCACTTGCCGGTGGAGAGCTGCAAATTTTGTCCTATACTCGGCACTCAGGGCCATTGAGGAGGGATGGATCTTTTTCATGCCAGCACCTTCTGCGAGTAGATCCTATAACAATCTCTTTGTACTATAACGAGTACATGTAATCATTGTCCCTCGTTATTAGGAGATTTGATTTTGTATTCATTCAAGAATCTATTAAAATTCCTTTAATTCAAAACTTATATAAATCGATATCGATTGATAAATTTACAATATCTATTTCATTCCAACGATGATTATACTTATCCTTTAGAACTCGAGTCACCAAAGAGTACAAGAGAATCACATGGATGTAATACAATCTGCAAAAACTTTATCAATAAACGTTAAGACCTACTTTTCTATACTTTTTCCCGTTATCACCTGCATGTTTAAATGTTTTTCAGTTTAATCAATAAACAAGAGTATATTCTATGTCAGTTACTTTTTAGTGGTGTAAATCAGATTGGGATACTTTATAATTCCAAGGATCTTTTGGACAATTTGAAATCACAAGATTTTACTAACATCAACAGCTTAAAAACTTACGACATTGCAACTTTATACAAAACCATTCCGCATGATAAAATTAAGTCTTAGACTAGACTTTTTGATATCATTGACAGCTGCTTGTCATTGGTCAGTTGCAAAATTATTTTGTTAAAAATAATTCTGATTGTACACACAAGCTTACGTACTCTGAAGGTGACATAAAAAGATACTATAGTACTTGAGTTTCTGATCGACAATATCTATTATTTTTGGAAACCAGGTCTTCCAACAAACAATTGGATTCCCATGGGTACCAATGGGAACCTATAATTAGCAGACCTATTTATCGTATTCATATGAAACATAATTTGTGCAAAATCGCATGCGTGAAAGAAGGATATGGACCGGAGATAATGAATAGAGTTCAATCTCAAAGTTCATAAAACAATACAAAATAGGAGCAGAGCAAACACGGACCTCCGAAACATCAGAGTTGGGATAAGGTGCCATGGAGGAGTGAGCATCCCCTGCTGACTTGTCATGATCGGAAAATTACGGGAAAATCCGTCGTCAATTCAGTGTATAAATAATGGACTATCAATGTGTATGAAAAAGTCCGTCAGCATTTTACTCAACATTTGATAAACTGTATTTGCTGAAAAGGTCATTGAATCGATTATAGAACTTAAAAATTGATGACTTTAAAAAGAACTGCTAATATTATTGTTTCATTAACTTGCTTGTCAATAATTTACCTCGTTTTAGAAAATGTTCGTACGTAGAGCATGCTCTTGTGTATCGCATAAACTGAGATATATATATACTCCGTATGCAGGTGGTGAAGGTATATTGCTGCATAAGTAAGGGAAGTTGACGATAGAAAAGTTAAAGTCATCAAGTTTATCATATGGTTTGGTTGTTAGATTATCATTAATGTCTTTTTCAAGTAAAATATTTAAGAATGAAACAGATGTGCCAAACTCTGTGGTATCTTTTATCTCAAGCTCACCAGGATATATCGTATCGACGTAGGAACGGAAATGACCATTGTTAATTGACAATGTCCTCGTTATATTTAAATGTCACACTGTAACTATGCAGTTTTCTTTTGTTGATACCTGACTACATTGTTTTCATAAGAGCCAAAAATTCAGTCTTCCATATATTAATGAATAAACCAGCAATTAGGTAGATCAGGAAAGAAGATGCTTGCAGAAAATAAACCATCATCTCTTTGTGTATTTCTGTCATTCTTGTCTTTAGCCTGGACTCTATTGGCAACCTCTTTCTAAACAACGAATAGAATACCACCATACCAGGTATCCATAAACTTTTTTTGTCCTTTGTACATTCTAACAGATCTCATTTAATTTTAAATAATTTAATTTTAGTTGTAAGACGTCATTTAATTTGTTAAACAGTTTTATTAATTTTGTATAACATAGCTTGCCTACATCACGATGAGTTACGTCAACAAGAGGCCCAGGAGCAATTGGCTAGGAAAAAGCACAAATCAGTTAAGAACTGAAAGTTTACTGAGGGGGGGGGGGCTTGAATTTTAACCCCCAGGGGCTCATGATTTGAACAAAATAGGATCTACACTACCTGAGGATGATTCCCTATAAATATTACTAAGCATGGCTTTGAAGTACTTTAAAAGGTTTCCCTATATATTCCTATGTAAAATTTTTATTTGCCATTTGGCCCCACCCTACCCCCGGGGTTCATGATTTGAACAAACTTGAATCTACACTACCTGGGGATGATTCCACATGAGTTTCATCTTTCCTGTGTCAATGGTTCTTGAGAAGAAGATTTTTCCTATATATTCCTATGTAAAACTTTGATCGGCGATTTTGGCCCCACCCTACCCCCGGGGGTCATGATTTGAACAAAATTGAATCTACACTACCTGAGGATGATTCCACATGAGTTTCATCTTTCTTGGCCCAGTGGTTCTTGAGAAAAAGATTTTTAAAATTTTTCCTATATATTCCTATGTAAAACTTTGATCAGCCATTTTGGCCCCACCCTACCCCTGGTTGTCATG